TCCCGTAAAGGGCGGTACTGATGTCCGAGGACCTCATACCGTCATCCCCTCAGTCATGAACACATTTGTCCTTCTCCGATAAAAGCCAGCCGAAAGGGTAAGGGAGCTGGGCTCCATCCTGATATCCTGATTGAACTCAAGACGACGTGCAGAGTGAGGTTATGACATTGATCAGATTAGCATTAACAAGACCTCGTACATTCAATCCCCTTAGAATGGGTAGTTTGAGCAACAAAATTTAAATTCTTATCGAGAACGTTCTTCATAATCTAAATTTGTTTAGTATAATATTCAGTAAATGGGAACCGAGGGATATGGATATTTAAAGAATAGCTAAATAATTTATTAGCTTTTTTGTCTTAGTTGAAAGTGACTGATTTTCAAACGTCACTGAAAAAATTGGTGCGCTAGTAGTACAGTATTCCGTAATGACACTTCAACTGACGGCTAAAGAAAGCAGCGATTCACATTGGATTTGAATCTCATGAGATTAAATCCATTTGGAAAAACGTTCTCAGGAAGGTTATTCCACATAAACGCAGTAACAATCCTATAACGAATGTTTGTAGTACAAACTGAGTTTCGTATAAAAGTTCATATAAAAATAGTTGTTTCGAAAGTATTTTTTCTTTCGTGTAATTCAATGTTTATATGAAAATGGTTGTTTTGAGAGGACTTTTTTACTTCTTGGCATGATCTACGGATCTTTTTATAGAATTATTTTTTATATTTATTGCTTTCTTCCTGTTTGTGAGATTCCCACATGTATTTCTCAATGTGAAACGTGCGAAGAATAATCAAGAATTGATTATGTATTGCTTTTAAATTATGAATAGACTAATTCCATTACTTAATGAAAATTATTAACACTATCCATGACAGTAATTAAACTATTTTCACAAACATTTTTTATTTCTAAACGCGTTTCGCTCGGCAGAAAAATGTTTCTACCGAGGAAGCTCGGTAGAAACATTTACAAATTCAAACTCAAGTAGCACAATGAATAATAATAATAATCGTCTTTATTACTTTCAAATGAATATATGCAAAAAAATAAATAAAATTACAGGTAACTATTCTAAATATCAATGAAAATAAAGGGCGAAGTTTATTTTTGTGAAGAGTTGAACACCATCAAAAATATTCTTCATGAAGTAAAGAAGCTTTCCATGTGTCACACCCTAAAAGTGAGGTAAATTACCCAACTACCAATTTTTGGCCCAATCTGAAGTGCCACTGTTTTGGAAGGAACTGAAGTGTCATTATTGTATTTGCTGGTAATCAGGATATTGTTCCACATATGCAGCCACAAATGTCAATCGAAAATGATGACATTCCGCTAGAGATGGGCCCAAAAGAACCGAACTGATTTTTCGGAACAGGTATCAGTCAACTGTTCAGTGAACCTGTTCTTTTCATTGAACTGAACTTGTTCAGACGGTGAATGGCTATTCCAAAGAAGCTTGCGCAGGTTGGTGCTGGAACTGGATGACGGGACTGCACTGAGCGCTGACAAGTCATAATTGTTTTTCATGAAATTTTGAACATAAAAAATGCACAACGAATTAATTAAATACTTATCTGTTGCAAAATTGTAGGTCTCTGTGAATTCTCCTCAACAACCGTGGGGTGTTTTTAGAGCATATGACGCTTTATATTTGTCACGGAAGATTTAAGGAAATAACCTGCTTGCAAATTTCACATGTTGCTAGTTGCAGTTGTTTCTCTGTGATGGAAAAAAAATCCAAATAGGGCTTGATCTTTCATTTATTTTACACTAAAATTCTGCCTGTTACTGAAATAAAACTCTAGAACAAGACGAATGGAGGGAACGTACGGAAATTCGGAACCACTCGGAACCGAACGCTAAAAAGTGACCATGACGCAAAAGATGAGACGTCATTTCAGAATAGGTGAACATGAACAGTTAAAAAGAACAGGTTTTCGATAAGAACTGGAACAGTTCGAAAAAAATTTACCTGTTCAGTGCCATCTCTACATTCCGCAACCCCTCATATATATTAACCTGGCTACAGAATACCTCACAGAAGAGACACTTGGTACGGAAAAAGAATCATGAGTTTTTTGAGAATTTCGAGGTGATTATTGCCCACCTAAAAATTTCGTCGAGTGGTTAGTGAACTTGAACATGGTAAAATCTGCCGAGATGACATCCTAATAATTCCTCGCTTGCCATCAAATTATACATATAAGTTTCAAAACATTCGAATTTACCGCTAAAAATGTCATACCCACCTCCAACACCAAAATGTCGGCGTGTGAATGTCTCTTCTGTGAGGTATAGACCATTAGTTAGGTTAGGATTCACTTTTGGCGCGAGGTCCAACTTCAAAAAAAATTTACATGGGGACCTTATGGAGGTTTGAATTTAATATGAAACTACACAAGTACATAATGAATGTTAGCTCTTAAACATCTTGAGCTAGATACCTTCATGATTTCTAAATGTATCCATGTCAGAACATCATTGAAATTCCCTTTTATAATTTTTTTATATTGAAATGAAACTAGTGATGTTCAAGAAATTTTCTATTGTCGTAGATCGATTCAGGTAAACGTAACGTCACAGATGTCAACAAATTCCGCTCCCACTCCACTACTAACCTAAAACCTAATCAACGGATCAACGTTCATCCATTTAATTCAGTTANGGTATTAACACGTGAATTTTAAATATCCCACTAACTTTGTTGCCCCACCAGTAATATACCAATCTTCAATCTAAGACATGCGTTCCATGAATTTTGCAATGCTTCTTTATATTGACAAATTCATAGAAAATTATCCATATTTTTCAATTATTTTGTATCAAACAGGTAAAGGAAACTCCATTTCATCTTTTTTTATGTAAAATCAGTTCTAATGAATAAGATTGAATACCTGAAAAAAGGCGACAAAGTCGAAGAATTTTTAGTCCCATACGATTTACATGGGAAATTAAATGACAGGTTTCCGTGATGGACCTGAGTTCGAATTTCGCGCTCGAAAAATCCTAACCTAACTAATATTGTGTTTTTGTTCTGCCACCACAAAACAGCCACTTTCGTGTCTGCCACCATGTGGTCTATACCTATATCATTCCAGAAGTTCCCTGATTTTTCAAAGTCATCTAGGGCCACATTAAAGTGAGTCTGGACATTAAAGTGAGTCTGGACATAACAGCCCGTCTCCATTTGAGAAAAAATAAAATCCAGTATGTAATATGAATATCACTTTATTCTGTACTTGATATTCGCCGTCGTTCACCACGACGGCAAAAATGCCAACATTGGACACTACGTGACCGATTTCCACGTCGGATACAACTGCTGTAAAAGGTACGATCAGTGCTGCCGCAACGTCAATTCAAAAAGTACCGAAATTTACAAGAAAATAGTACCCAAAATGTACTGCGCAAGACTAGGCATGGCACATGCGCATAAGTCATTTCAGACCAAATGCCAGTAATGCCAAACGTGTAATAATGTTATCCATTTAAATTCGGAAAATATATGGAGTAAAAAATTTGCTGGAAACTAAGAAATGTTCCTTAAGAGAAAGATCATAATCAGAACATTTGATAAAAAGGTGTCTTTTTCCTTCTTCAAATTGCTCTTTCACGATTGCAAATGTGTTTTGTTTTAATTAGGTTTCTGTCACAATAGAATGAACAATACTAAAGACGTTTTCAAGTAGCTAGATTCGAGAATTTATTTTTACCTGTCCATATTCCTATTTATTTTGACAAAACAATAAAACCAATTTCTCAAGGTGAGGTGTGAGGTTAGAAGTTGAAACTGCTGTTCTGCTGACTGACTGACAGATGACAGAACCACAGTTCACAGGCACAATACAGAACACAGGATTAAATAATGCAGAGTTATGATGATAGCTCGCAATTTTGACACAAGTACGGTATTTGCTGATCTGGAACTTGAAACACGGAATTGCATTGTTGCCACACATATTGTTGTTATTTTTTACTGTACTCGATGGAAGTCAACGTGAAAATGTAAAAAATTGGGATTATAGTAAATAGTACCGAATAGTCTACATATTGATCCGGGTAGTATCTTCGTATCAAAATCATGGAATAGTACCGAATGCGGTACAATAGTACCTTAACGGCAGCACTGGGTACGATGATTCTTCGATCAAAACCGTGCAGGAAGAATACGTTCTGGAACACGAGTCCCTCATTTGCTGTTCTATAAGCGAAGCGATACAATCTTAACTAAATAACACTACGTTAAAGAGATGAGGTTGCTGTGGTTACGTAGATTTCAGCGTCAGGGATCGTATGGAATTTTTTTGAGTTTTATTCAAATTCAGTTTTTTTGTTGGTTTTAATGGATTTTTTATTTGTTCATTTTGTTGTAATAGTGGTTACATTACCTTAAATATAAAAAAGGAAGTACGTACCTCAATTAGTAAACCCTTCACCTTTAAATTCGCGTAGATACCGGGACACACAAATATTGAAAGAAATAAGAAAGCGAACATATTGACAAGAATCGGCACAGCTCTAAACATTACATTGGATATCAGAATAGATAAACAAAACTTCTTACCACACTAAAAAGGAAAGAACAGTTCCAGAATCAATGGAAACACAACATTTACCAAAAGCTGATAGAAACCGAAATACCAGCACTCCTAGACATACGTACAGTCCTAAGATATCTGAATGTAAGAATTATTAAAATACCAAACAAATTTGTGTTGAAAAATCGAATAAAAATACGTTCCTCATCCTTGGTACATCCTAACTTATTTTCATAAATCTTATTTTTGTTTTTGACTATTTGTCATGAACCCTCCTCGTGAATAAAGCAAAGAAGAAGACACAGAAACGGATAATAAAACCGACGCAGGGTTTCATAACGCAAGGAGACTTGCGTCTGCGGACGAACCTCTGCATTGTACTATTCTATGCTTCTGTTCCATGACAGCAGTTATGAAACAGGAGAAATGGTTTATTGTGGAACGATTGTCGAATGCGCCTGAGAAGGAAGCAATGGCTAAACAAGAATAGACAGAGGGAATTTTAAGTTGAAAAAATCTGTTGTAGAAAAGACTAAAGGATCGAAAATCTTCCTAACAAACAAGGAGAAAATACATGCTATTTTGTCGAAACTGGGTAAAGACCTAGAAGCTAAAGCCAAAGTCACTAAATCCTCCGATCCCCTCCAGTTTTCCTATACAAACATCGGCCATTTTCTTAATAATTTAATAGATTGGCTTTAAATCGTTATCTTTAATATTTGTAATTTTGTTTCAAATGAGTAGAAGTTATTGTGATTATAGTGTATGAAAGGTGTCTTTAGTTGTAAAAATTAACTTATACAAGTAGGATTTCACAATTCTATTATGGAGGAAAATGAGGAAGCTGGCCCTACTGGTAAGTTTTCATGCATATTTTTCAATGGAACTTTATTTTTGTCTTCATTATCTATTTAGTACGAAGAACTCGTTCTGCAAAAGCTGCTAAAACTTCTCCAGTTGTAAAACCAGTAAAGCACAAGCCTGGTCCCTTATCAAGGAGAACTCGCAAAAAAGTTGTTCTCATGGAAGTAGAAGTTTCCGACGAAGACGAGGAAATTCCACAAGAAAATAAATCTACTGTAAGTGATGCTGACGAGAAAAAGGTAGAAGATAAGTTATTGGAGTCTCCAGATGAAAGCAATGATTCCGTTGATCAGAAAAGTATTAATTCTCCATCAGGAAAAAAAACAAAAGTAAGTGACGAAGGTGAAGGAAATCATGACCTGAATGGAAATGGAGGAGACAGCAAAACCACTAATTTGGATGATTCGATAACAGTGGTAATTGATCTTTCAATTAATTGTATGTTTTTTTCATAACCATTTGGATCTAGTTGATAGTGTTATTCACTCTTAAGTATCTAGACTCACAAATTTTAATTTTGTTGTCTTTGTCTTGTCAGAAACCTAAAGTTTTCAAGGGCTTGGTTTTAAGAATAAAAACTTGCAAAATGCTGGCTTTTTTCCATATTCATCTACTGTGTGTTGGTAAATATTTGTTGTAGGTATTGGGTAGCACACATTTTTTGAAAAATTAAAATTATACTTACATATTTTCATCTGCTGATCCCAATCTTGAAGGCAAAAGTTACGTTGGTCTACTTTCAGATATATGGCCACTTAGAAGTCTAAACTGTCAAATTATTGATCAGGGACTCTCTTTTACTAATAAAAATCATAAAAAAGCATATAATTTTCACACATTGAAAACTTTTGTTTCGTTAAAATACTCTTTTTCGGAATCATGTTCACAATGATATTTGTTACTTCCTGACAGTTTTTGTTATTGGCAATATCGCAAAAAGTAAATGTCAAGAAAATTGTATATTGCCAAATTTTGAAAATTTTACTTAACTTTGCACTAGAAGACTAAAAGATTGCCACTATTTTATTACTTTCATAGTCATTAATTTGTAAATGTTACTTAAATGAAACTTCATACACTACAAATGTGGAATCAATTGACAGCACATTCCAAATGACAAAAACAGGTGGCATTCCTTATCTTTTTTATATCCATGTAAATTTGATATTACATTCATTCCTTTTTACTATTTTGAACTAGAAAGTTTTACACACCTTTGAAACCTTCGAAGCTTTATGAAGTACAAGTCAGGCCCTGTGACTGCTTCAGCCCCTCTTGAATTGTGATTATAAGAGTAAAATTATTTGAGTATAAAAACTTTAATATTATTCTACTATTCATTGCAGCTTCAGTGGGTTTTGATAAAATAGGTGTGATAGAAATGGGACAAAAATGTTTGTATCTTATTTATATCGGCTTTAAACAGAGGTGTAACTTTAATCAAATTTTATTTTCTGGGAAACTCCCCAGTCTCAAAGCATTTTTTGTTTATTATTATGGCTACGTGATCTTCAGTATTTTATGGCCCAGTTCATACACATCGAGAACAGCAATACTACCAGATAAATTTGCTATAATATTAATTTCTTGTATATAGTCTGTAGGCCTGAAAAAAATGCTTTTATGGATCCTTGTGTGTACTACAATTCTTTCATAATATATGAATCGAGTATCGTGTGAGGAGTTGTTGAAGAGGGGCTACTTGATAACTAGCCAAATAGTATTTTTTTCTTTTCATAAATAATCTTTTGTTTATAGGTTCTTTTTTCAACTTTTATTTTGTGTGTTGGATCAACTTTCTGGTAATTTTTTATAGTCAGTCAGAAAATTCAGATTTTCTCTGTAGTTTCTTAGATCTGCATTGAACCGTTTTTTTTTATCATATTATTTTTGTGAACAATTTTGTCTTTTTTTTGGAAAACATTTGATAACTGTATACAGTGTTAATTCTAGGAAATAGTCAAACATATCATTAGTATTATCAAATTCAAGTAAGTGTTCCCACTTTATATTTTTCAAAATAGTTACATCACAGAAAGATCAATAGTTACATCACAGAAAGGCCTATATTCGATAATTTGAGTATTTACGTATTAGGCAATTTTTTTACTGAAAATAGCTATTCTTGATTTCCATATGATCTGATATATAATACTCTATTTGTGAAACTACACAATCACTATAGGCATTAGTAATGCAGTTATCTGAGCAAATAATGAGCCTTATAGGTTTACTAATTAAAAGGTAGCAACGAAATGATTTGGTGAGGTTTTAAGTTTTCTAATTTCTTGAAAGTATAATCATTTTTAACATAGATACTTGGTAAAAGTAAGACTCCAAGTAGACTCAAGCATATGAAAATGATAGAAGGAAACGTGAAACAGATCATTATTTCTCAGAGTTTTCTTTGGCACATGTAAGTGAATCATCTCAAGAAGTTCCAGGCATGTAATAAGGCTATTAATTTATTTGTATTTAAATATAAGGTCAGCATTATCTCTTCTTTTACTCGACAAGCCTACGTTAAGACTGTTCAAAAGATTTGTTTGAAGGTAGTTGACAATGTTTCATGGTGTATTTCATCAGTTTGGATTTCCATTGTCTAATACGATATAAATGATTTGAATTACCTGAATCTGTGAAAGAATTAAAAAAGATGAGCTGAAAAAAATAACAATCTCATTAGGCAAAAAAACTGAAATTACAATGAAATAAAATACAAGCAACAACCAAAAAATTAAAAAAAAGGACTATTAACACGAGATGAAAATTAAAAAATCATTAGCAAGAAAAGAAAATTAAAAATTGAAAGATTCCTAACCAAGTTACTTCACGTTTCTTTTGTTAGTATCCACAATCGTCTTCGGGTGATAACTGGACTTATTCCTCCGAGATCTGACTATTTATAGGTCGTTCGAGTGCTTTCACCTATCCCCTCTTCCCCTTCTCTGCTTCATCAGTTTTAGCGGAAGCCGACCGTTTGGCGGGAGTTGGTCGTGTTCCGCTTGATTAGAGGTTTCCATATGTTGCATACGCTAACTTGGTTAAATGCCAGTATTCTTCCTTGTGGAAACACTGGTTTAGGATAAAATTTAAAGAAGCCACATATATCTGTTCAAGAATTTGTTTTTCCGTTAATCAGCTAACTAACGAGGTCTTACCTTTCAACGTGTGGTTCCTAACACGGGTTGGATGATAGCAAGTGAAAAACGATCGTTCAACCTGCGGTTTGAACCACCAACCAAAACGCTGTTCGATTTGAGTGAGTGAACAAAGAACCCACATTGAACCGATCGGCAACCGACCGTATGTATGTTTTCAATAAGCGAAATCAATTGTTTCAATGAATTTTATCTAATTGATACTTTTTATATTGCAATATTTTTCCAAAGCCAGTGAGTGAGAGACAGTTCAGATAGAAAACAACAGATCTGTTACTATTTTTTTAAGATTAAAAACAATATTTTGAATGGTTTATAAATTAATTTACAATACTTCATTTTCCATATGAAAGTTCAAATTTGTTTTGTTAAGGTTTTCAATGATGTTGAAATGCTGGAAGAAGCAGACGTAGAAAGTAACTTAGAGGAGAAAGGTGCCAGTGAGGAAAGTAGGGTAGCCGAAGAGAAAATGAATGTAGATGACGAACAACAACCTGAATCAGCAAAGCTCTCTTCAGAAAAGAAGGAAGTTAAAGTAAAAACATCCTTAAAAGAAAAAGCTCCACTTGAAACACCTGAAAAGAATAAGCCTGAACAATCTAAAACAGAAACATCCGAAGAGGATTATTCTAAGAAAAAAAATGAAACAGATGAAGGAAAAATTAAAGAATCTGTACCCAAAAAAGAAAAAACTACTGAAGAGGGGTCGTTAAATGAGAAAAAATCTGAAACAATAAAAGAAAAAGAAATGAAACACGAGGAGAAAGCAGTTGAAGAAAATAAAAGTGACGTCAAAGATGATAGGATTAATGAAGCATCAAAAACACTTGGGTCAGAGAAAGGTTCTGTTGAAAAAAATGAAACGACAACTAAAATAGGAAAAGAAGAATCTATCACAACTAAAGAAAAACAAAAGGTAACCTCTTCAAAAAAGATTGAAAGTGAGTTCTCACCTGTGAATATCAAATCTGAAGAAGAAACAACTCAAAGTACAAATGAAGAAAAAAAATCTCAAAGTGCAACTGAAGAAAAAAAATCTCAAAGTGCAACTGAAGAAAAACCTAAACATGAGGTTTTGGAAAAAAATATATCCAAGATTTCGGAAGATTCAACTGAAAAATCTAAAAAAGAATTGCTTACTGAAGAAACGCCTAAAGAGGAGCCTAAAACTAGTTCGGATAAAGCAAAAGAAGAAAAGGATTCTGAAATAACCAAAATGGAAGTTGACGAAGTTCATGATGAAAAACCCGCCTCTGTCGGTCAGAAGACATGTTCAGAGGTTAATCTTGAAGAAAATAAGGATGAAGCACTGAAAATTGCAAACGACACAGAGACAACTAAACCAAAAGAGGAAGAGAAAGAAAGTAAAAAGGCAGATAAGACAATCGAAGAGAAACAAAAAGGTGATCCTGATGCTGAAAATATTTCCGAAGATGAGCTTCCAAGTGTTCAGGCTGCAAAAGTTCCAGAAGCTGAAGAAGTTTCTGATGAAGAATTACCAGGCCCCAAAAGAGCAGAATTACCAGCAGATACAGAGGTTGTTTCAGAAGATGAGCTCCCTAGTGTGAAGAGTGACGGGAAAAAAGAAGGTGTAAAACGTAAACTGGATGCTACAGATTATGATCCTGGCTCCCCTACCTCGGAGAATGAAGCTCCTTCAAAAAAACCTTCTCTTGAACCTGCTGTAGAGAAAGAAAAGGAAGAAAAACCAGCAAAACCAAAAAAATTACCAGAGCTGGATAAATATTGGAAAGCTGTTAATGATGACCCCACCGACTTCACTGGGTGGACCTACTTGTTACAATATGTTGATCAGGAGGTAAGTCATCCTAAAATTACTTGAGTATAATTTTTTCCAATATCTGGCTAATAAATAACAATTTCTTTGTTTCACTTCATTGGACTTACATTAATCTCAACGAAATATTCTCATTAAATTTGAGTTATATTCAAAACATTGTTCTTCAGAGTCATTCGCTGAATATAATTCTATTTCCGGGGATTTCTTGGTTTGGTTGGGGCCAAAAACGCTTTTTTTTCTGTATGTAATATCAGGAATCAAACAACTTGGATTAATTAAGTTGTTGAATCAATATCTATGCAATTAGAAGACTTTTTTGTTGCTGCTCAACTTACATGTGCAAGATTTTAATTTTATGGGTAATTTCATAACTATTAAAAGTTAGCCTTTGTTGACACTGTTTTCTTCAATCTAAGTTACGTGGATTACTTTTTTATCATTATTATAGATTTTCGAAAATAAAGCCCTATTCTATTAAATTGTATTATCTCTTCAACGTTTCAGGAGCCATCCCCTCCTATTTACGCCACTGTTCAGAGAAATGGTTACAGTGTTTTGTTTGTATGCTGAGATTGAACTTAGTTTTGATAGAAACATTATTTGACTTTCAGAATGATATGGAAGCTGCTCGTGAGGCTTACGATGCCTTTTTATCTCATTACCCTTACTGCTATGGGTACTGGCGTAAGTACGCTGATTATGAAAAAAGGAAGGGCAACAAAAAGAAGTGCGAGGAGGTAAGAAAAATTGTTATTACAACTATCAAATATTCGTGGAATGCTTTTAACTTACATATAATTATTTTGCAATTCCTACAGCTCGGCGTTCGTGCGGCAGCTGAAAAAATTCATTATAGTAGTGAATATTATAATTATTGTTATTATTGTAATCTTATTATTTGTATGTTATTTAAGTTGTTTGTTAATATTTTACACATCATTATTAGTTTGATATAAATCGAATATGACATGCAAAATGTACTGGGATCGTAAAAAATCAGCGAAAGAGTCCTAGAGGTGATCCTTGAGGCTATCAGCAAGCCAGCGTCGCTGGAAGGGTTTTTAAACCAGATCCAAATGTAAGGAAATAAATAATCATCGTGAAATAGGTTTCATGTAATAATATAAATCCTTGATATAGACAAAATTATACTTTACATAAACTATCTCTTTCAGCACGAAAAAACCAGTTGATGTGTATTTATTAGGTGAACCTTGGTAAGCACTTCAATACACATCATCTGTATTGTTGTTCTCAAATTTCTAATCTAAAATTCTGAAAGGTGTTCGAGAGGGGGCTAAAGGCTATTCCATTGTCCGTCGACTTGTGGATCCATTATCTAACCTATGTAAAATCTACAAGGACCGATGACGAAGAATTTATTAGGTCCCAGTTTGAAAGATCCATTACAGCATGCGGTCTTGAGTTCAGGTCAGACAGGCTTTGGGACTCATTTATCAAATGGGAGGCAGAAGGCAAAAGATTACAGAGAGTAACAGCAATTTATGATAGGTTGTTGGCAACTCCCACTCAAGGCTATACTAGCCATTTTGACAAGTAAGTAAAGGATAAGTAAATTTGATCTCTAATGAAATACCACTTGCATTATTATTGCATTTTGGGAAAGATCTCCTTCATAGTATTCTAGTTTTCCAGAAATTTGCTTGAAGATATATATCCAAAATTATTCATGCCGATAACGGCTAACCTTCATTTAAAGATCGTGGGATAAATAAACTTTCTGACAATATTAGAAATTTTGATGTAACTAATGATATACAGTGTCATCCCCAAAGTATGCACCATATGGAAAACTTATTTATTAAGGGTTTTTTGACAAAATGTTATTCTTGATAAAAGTTTGTGCATCCCCTAAAACTAAACATGCACTAACAAAATACACTAAAACACACCTAATATACGAGGAGCCTTCAAATATTTGATTTTGTGACTAGAGTAAAGTACTCTTATTTTGAAAAATTTCGGGAAATGTTATTTGGAAAAGTTGTTCAGCATCAAAAAATACATCCAGATTTGAAGTCATGGCCATCTAAATGAAGTTTTATTTTTTTGCCCATTTTTAATGGGCACTACAAAAAAATTGCTAAAACGATAAATAGACAATATAAGACGGTTTATTTTGAAAGCCTGTAATATTATGAATTACACAACTATGGTGTTTACCACGGTCAATTTTTTTGAAGAGTAGAATAATTTTCAAAGNAAGGCTCCTCTTATATTACGTGTGTTGTACAGTATTTTATTGGTGCATGTTCACTTTCAGTGGATGCACAAACTTTTATCAAGAATAACTTTTTGTCGAAAAATCCTTAATAAATAAGTTTTCCATATGGTGCATACTTTGGGGATGACACTGTATATTATAAAAACTATCACAAAAATATTAAACTTCCAAAGACCGAAAACAGTCAATGTTGGACCTTGTCCTTCTAGCAGACCGTGGTGGGGGACTCATGTTTATCTTTGACAGGCAAGATTTGAGTTTGTTGTGTTCATTTATATTCGTGTTTTTCTGATGAGTCCAGTGATAAATTTAATGAATATGAATAAATGTGAATTGGTCTTGAGGTCCATATTTAAAAGTTAAAAATTGAGGGTGTCTCAAGACAGATGACACCCTGTATGAAAATTATCTAATCATTTTCTGATAGTACAATGCAAATAAAGAAGATTAAGGGAAAAATAGAATTTTATAATTTTCAATTTTCCCTTCATATTTGCGGAACCAAAAAAACCAGAGTTGATTTTTTGCTATCATTCAATAGTATGCAAAATCTTTCTTACAATTTAATCTATCCTCTATGTTTTACTGTTTAAGAGCTTCACATGCATAGACTGGAATTTGATGAATAGCTATCTAAATGACATAAATCCTCATCATTTCCTCAGTCAGTGTGCAGGCAACATATTATTAATGTCTGAACAGAACTATTGTTCATGGTGTGTAGGCTTTCACGGCCTGTGTCATAACAAATTGTCGGATATTTCCAGGTTTATTAGCTGTGGTTTGAAAAAAAGATTTTACCAATTAGGTACGATTACAAACGCACCATACCACTGAATAATTTTGATCTGATTTAGAAGTTACTGTTACATTATTTCTCTCATTATAAAATACAGACGAACTTGAAAGTGCCAACACACATACTTCATAAAGTTCTCATGTTCTATATTTTTAATAATTATGTAATTTTTTTTCAGTTTTCAAGAGCATGTTGCATCTAATCCACCAAATAAAGTCATCGAAGTGGACGAATTTTTGGCCCTCCGCAAAGAAGTGAAGCACATGTTGAAACACGATGTAACTACTGATACTCCAGCTGATGATGGGGATTCACCTCCTGGCGATGAAGACCAAAATAAAGTGGTCAGTACTGATGAAGAGACCAAGTCTATCAGAGAAAGAATTGTTTCCATTAGGAGAAAAGTTCATAAGGCCACTGTAAATGCAGTGACAGCTAGATGGAACTATGAAGAAGGGGTAAGAATAACCTCATATTACATGTGTATTAATGTTATTCAAAATTTTATACTTCATTTCATGTTTCGTCATATATATAAATTAATGCTAACTAGGCAGCTATAGTACATTGATATTCGCAAACAACATAAAATATTGCCATTGTTTTAGTTGAGGAATTTTCATTTAAAAAGTTATGAGTATTCAAGTATGAAATAAAACTTGATGTGTTTCATACAAAAAAAAATTGGAAGATATTTTTATAAAAATGAAAAATCCAACCTCCAACAAAAAATTAAATTTTCTTCTTTAATAATGCCTTTAATATTGCCTTACCTTTCCACACAAAATATAAAAACTATTTCAAAATATGTTCAAAGACATTTCCGTTAACGTCCAGGCATTTGTTAACTCGCTTCTTCAAATTGTTATTTACAGCATTGATTCTTGAGGTGCGAAATAATTATGATTTCAATAAATGTAGTTCAAAAATGTATTTGAAATGCCTTCCAAATAAAATTCAGTATTGGTTTCATATCGAGTAGCTTTCAGTTGAACATTATTTCATTGCTTTAATGATGATTTTGCTATAAGGTTGCTTGATGTATGTGAGCAAAAAGCAACTCTGAATTCATTTGCAGACAATGCAAGGGCCATCTGAAACACCTACAAAATTATAGAAAAGGTTTCATTTTGTAGAACTTTGTTGAATTATATTTCATTTACAGATAAAACGTCCTTATTTTCATGTGAAACCCTTAGAAAGATGCCAGTTAAAGAACTGGCAAGACTATTTGGATTATGAGACTGAGCAAGGAGATAGAGTAAGAATCATTGTACTGTTTGAGAGATGTCTCATAGCCTGCGCTCTATATGAAGAATTCTGGTTGAAGGTGAGATTTTACTTCAATTAATTTCTCGTATGACTTATATTTTCAATTTCAGTTTGTGCATTACTTGGAGGGTCTCAAAGATAAAGAAATGCAGCCGAAAATAAGAGATGTATATGAACGAGCTTGTACCATTCACCACTTAAAGAAACCCAATCTTCATTTGCAATGGGCTCTGTTTGAGGAAGAGGCAGAGAACCCAAACCGTGCAGCTGAAGTTCTGGTCAATTTGGAAAAGTCTGTGCCTAATATTCTACAAATTGCCTACCGAAGGATTAATCTAGAGCGTCGACGATCAGATTATGAGAAGTGTTGTCAACTTTATGAACACTACATAAACAACTCTAAGAACAAAATGATTAGCAGCAACATCGCCATTAAGTATTCCAGGTTTTGTTTTAGAGTCATAAAAGACATTACAAAAGCTCAGGAGGTATTGAAATCGGCCATCACCAAAGATCCCAACAATCCTAGGTTGTATTTGCAACTCATCGATCTTGCTCTCCAGAAAGAAAATGTCTCTCAGTCAGAGGTCTTAGAAGTGATTGACTCGTTTTTGGATAAAGATAGTACAGACATAGAACAAAAGGTTCTCTTTGCTCAAAGAAAATTGGAATTCGTAGAGGACTTTGGGTGTGATGTACAATCAGTGCAGCTTGCTTATGATCAGTATCAGAAGGTCCTTAAGCAAGGCAAGGAGAGTATTAAAAAGAAGGAAACGAAAAGGTATGTGAAAGTTTTCTTATCTATCATGAAATTTGACACAATTTAAGTGATACTGCAAATAATATCAATTATTGATAATAATAGTTACATGATTCTAAACTCTTGTTGATAATTTTGAGTCCTTGATTTTTTTTTGAAGTGATTGAAAACTTTGTTTCACAATTAGGCAGCATTATTTATGATGTGGTGATGGTACACTCCATTGATCACTGGTTCAATTCCGATACCGTTGATTTTATGTCTCAGTTTGAATGCAGATTTGATCTGCCTGAGAACTTGATGTGTAACTCATGTACAGTCATCCCCGAAGTATACACCATATGGGAAACTTATTTATTAAGGGTTTTTAGACAAAAAGTTATTCTTGATGAAAGTTTGTGCATCCCCTGAAACTAAATATGCACCAACAAAATACAGTAAATTACACATAATATACGAGGATCCTTCAAATATTTGATTTTGTGAATAGAATAAAGTACTCTTATTTTGAAAAATTTCGCTAAATGTTATTTGGAAAAGTTGTTCAGCATTGAAAAATACATTTAGATTTGAAATCATGGCCATCTGAGTGAAGATTTATTTTTTTACCCATTTTTTTTTAAATGAGGACTACGAAAAAAAATTGTTAATATGATAAATAGACAGCATCCTGTATACGAAGGTTTATTATAAAAGCCTGTAATACGAATTACACAACTATTGTGTTAACCATGGTCAATATGTTTGATGAGTGATATAATTTCAAAGTTTTAAATTAAACCTTCAGAAAATCAATGGGTTTGTTCCGAAATACCCATTTTATTTTTATGTTTGTGATTTGATATTATTGAATATTAAGTTTTTGTTAGAATACAGTATAATTTTGATTAATATTCGGTGTTAACAAAAAATAAAAACAATTTTGCACCAAAAACTTTGAAAACTATTTCACTCTCCAAAAATTTATCATATTTAACACCATAGTTGTGTAATTCGTAATATTACAGACTTTCAAGATCTGTTTAAAATCTGTTTTTCCGTTAATCAGCTGTCGCCCCCATACGAACGACAACTCTCAAAAGTTGAGAACTTGTGCGAGCTAAGGACTAACGAGGTCTTACCTTTTAACGTGTGATTCCTAACACGGTAAGATAAACCGTAATATACAGGATGCTGTCTATTCATCGTTTTAGCGAATTTTTTTTTGCATTCCCATTTTAAAAAATGGGTAAAAAATCAAACTTCCTTCAGATGACCATGACTCGAAATCTAGATGTATTTTTTGATGCTGAACAACTTTTCTAAAGAACATTTTCCGAGATTTTTCAAAATAAGAGTACTTTACTCTTGTCTCAAAACAAATACTTGGAGGCTCCTCGTATATTACTTGTGTTTTACTGTATTTTGTTGGTGCATGTTCAGTTTTAGGGGATGCACAAACTTTTATCAAAAATAACATTTTGTCGAAAAACCCTTAATAAATAAGTTTCCCATATGGTGCATACTTTGGGGATGACACTGTATATCTTGCTCTAAGCAGTAGACCTAGTTTCACTTGTTTTATTTCAAAAATAAAATTGGCACGTAACTTGGAGAATATGGAAGGAAAGAAATTCTCTGAGTAAATCCAATGCTTCAGAAAAGAGCCTCAAAGAAGTGGTTCAGTATATGGGGATCTGACGACATCACCAGATGTATGGACTGTGTATGCAGTGTAAAAGTTCAATTATTTTTTGGTTGTTTATATTCACATGCTTATGAGAGAAAAGAAAATCCGCGAAAAATTTGTATTGTATAGTCGAAGTAACCGATATAGTAATCTTAAAAGGGTCGGCGAAGTCAAAGGCCAAAAAACCAATACAAAGGAATTATGCCGCAACGAATAAGTCCACGTGGACTGAAGACTTGACGGTTCGTATTGGATAATTTTTACTAACCGAGTTTTATGATTGACTGAAGAGTCATAAAATTAAATTTGAAATCATGTTACGGTGACCAATAGAATGTAGCGATGAGTACAGCCATTGTGTGTGTGTGTGTTATTAAAGGGGAACTGCTGGAAGAGGGGGCACTATATCTTTTACTTGAACTATACACGGGTGTATTTATTCGACCCAAAATGCACCGAACAAATTGTAACTTACCAAAAATGAAAGAAAATTAGCTTTATGTGTAGAAAGGACTTTGTGAAATGAACTTGTTTTTTGCGTGGTAAAAGTAACAGTCAAAAGTGGCATAGCTAATGTGAAATCTTATAAGAAATATAATGAGGTTTTACAAAAGAGTTGGATCACTTTTTTTCAATTGTGTTGACAAGAGATTTGTTTATGCGATAGAGCTGACTCGGAAACTAATGATTTTCATATTCGATGTTGACTGTGAGGCTTTGTGTTAGCATATCCTGATGACGCTAATTTGGTGAACGAAACACACGTGGAGACAGTATTTTTGTTCAGGTGTGGGAAATGTTTTGATAGATTATCTTATGTAAGAGGTTCTAATTGTACCGATATGGATAGTTGGTTTGTTGGAGTGAAACAAATTCACTTTATATAACTCGCATAAGTACTGTTTCATGCTATCCTCTGGTGGATTGGTTTGGAAATATTTCAGATAGAGTTATTCTTAATGTTTTAATTGTGAAACAAACAAGGTACTGAACACTTAACAATCACATATATGTTTTCAATGCAGTTTATGTTGTTCAGTAATTTTTCATATACCTATCTCCACTTTTATAAATTTTTGAAAAATTATCAATATTTATAAATAATTTTCTACCACTTTCAGTGAATCTACTGCACCCAGCAAGAAAGAGAAACCTACAGCACAATCATCTTCCCAGTCGAGTACCTACAATTATGGAGCTTATGGAAACTCTGCAACGCAGCCTGCCTATCCATATTCTGGTTCTCAACAGCAGGGACAGAATTACTATCAGCAGTATGGTCAAAGTGGTGACCAATACCAATATCAGAACTGGCAATACCCTCAAGGAGGATACGGAGGATATAACCAGTGGGGTAGTTATGGTGGGGGATACGGGTATTAAATGTCTGTTTTCTATATTGCTGTTTAATTCAGATATTTTTTGTAAGTGTAACTCAATACTTCTTTATTGAAACACATATTTTCGTTGAACAAATATTTTGTTTTGTTTTTTTGGAAAAAATTATTCTGAATATTTTACATGAACACAAAAGGACAATTTTAAACAGTCACAAAATTTGTGTATTTAACTATTATTTTTTTTAATTTATGATTGATTACTTGTAAATTTTCAAAGAATAAAAAAATTCTAATCAAATGTACACTTACAGAAACTCTATGAGAGCAAATGTCATTGGAATATTTCTGAGAAAGGTTGAATGTTTTTATATAATTGAGTTTCGTAATTAACTTTAATTGTTAAGACACTTTTATGTAATTAGTAGCAGAATATGAAAATACATTTAGTAGTATAAAATATAGTTTAATTTTTCTTTGGGTGATATAAACAATATAACTTTATCAGACAATTACTCGATAATCGGTCCCTGGCAAACAGAACAAAACTATGGTGATGTTTTCATTTTTTCGTTCAATTTTCAAGCCATGGATTACATCACAAATTTGGTAGAGGTATTTCTTATGCTTTGAATGCCTGAAAAACAACAAATGATTATAATAGGCTGTTTATCATAAATTAAAAAGATGTCTATTTATTCAGTTGGAAAACTCACTTTATACAGAATAGCATCACATACATATGTATTAGGTTGTACTGTATAGGACTATCTTTTAAACACATTGTAATCTTAACATCCATATAAATCAAGTAGTACAAACGCACATATGTGATACGAACGACGAAAAGTTTTTTATGATGGTGTTGTTATAGTATCAACATAGACATTGCACGAAAATCTTCAATAATTAAAGGAATTAATTAAATAAAAATTGATGAAAATATTATTACAATAAACTCGATTTTTCCAAAGTTGAAGATAAAACTCCCACCATCAGAAGAAATATATTCAATTCCTTGCTATAACTGAGAGTAAACATGTCCAGCCTATCATCTCAAGGAACAATTTGTTCAGGCCAGTCTTCCATTACCTATTACTTCACCAAAGTTTTCATTTTCACTAGTTTCAAAAATGTCAATACCAAGTATATCAAAATACAAACCATTTGTTTAAATTAATTCTTTCATAAATATTTATAATGAAATTCTTAGCTCTTTTTTATAGGCAAAACTATTGAATGCCACGAGTTACTGTTACTAATAAATAGAACATTACTCTTTGTGAAAAATACTTTGAATTTAAGCAGTAACTTATTGGGGTAAATTAAAAAGTTTGCCCTTTCTACATGTGTATGAAGTTTTTCATTACAATCGTTATTTTATACAGTGAAAATCAAGATCTTACATTATAAAATAGGTCAATATATACCTTCTTCATTGAGAATAGTTTTTTAATTCCAAAATGTGCAAATTAGTTTCAGACTTATGGCTACATGAGTCATTTTTTTCCAAAAAAGTATACAATAAAAATTCAAACCATTATACTAATTTTTAAAATAAAAATGTTATTGAATTAAAAAAAAATGTCTGAACGTAAGATATCACATAAAATCATTGGTAAAAAACGTATCACAGTCACTGTACCAAATACTTCCCGAGAGCTGATTTGAAGACCTAAATTCTGAGCAGTTTCATATTACTCGGTAAATTATTATACAATATTACCCCTACCAGAGAGTATTCTTCTGTAATATGCATGAGTCCTGCTAATATTTTTAAGTTACTTTTACTTCTGGCGCTATAATTATTCAGTTGCTTCAAATGTGCAAAATTTTATGGTTTTAGTGAATGTTACCGGACATGTTATGAATGAAAACTTCATGTGTGTGCGTCAGACTTGTAGTACAGGATCCCGCCGCAAAATCACTACGTTCATAGCGTTGTTAATCAAAGTCAAATTTTTACATACATTTATTAATAGGAAAGTACATTTATGACAGGTTGCCAGTCAAAAAGTGGCCGCCAATATTTTTATTTGAAAAAATCAAACTACTAAAATATTTCATGGAGTAAGAACCGGGTCAATCCCTCTACGAAACCCTTCATCACTTGGAAGGATCGATTGCAGTTTGAAAAATGGTTCTGAAGCAGATTCTTTGAAACATGTTCTCCCTAATTAATCAGTAGACAATTGTCCTGAAAATCTTGTGAAAAAAATTGGATTGGATAATTTAGGAAACACTAGCTACATGAATAGCATTTTACAAGTATTGTTCATGACGAGCTTTTAACGATGAACGAGAACAAGAATGTTTTCTATTTATTCACCAAACTCAAACGCCTGTTCATACAGCTACAGTTTCGTAAGAATTTATCATCTCCAAATACGCAAAGTTGCACAGATACGCATTAAGCATTTTACCTTAGTAAGGTGACTAGAGGAAAGTTGCAACTCAGCATATGAATCTTTATAAATATTGAGGGAGGTCAAGATCAACAGAAAGTATTGAGAAATTCATTCAGTATTCATTGATCACTCTTCAGAAATGGTTCCAGAGCATTTTAAGAATGCAGCACATCTTCTTTTCATCGTTCCTGCTGGGTAGCAGTAAAATGTAAGTTTTTTGGTGATTCTTTTGATCTTTCTTAACTATTTTATTAACTACCCTTAATTTTTTCGTTTTCATCATAATAAATATTTCATTCAGTTTTAAATGAGTTCTTTCATTATTTAGATGAAAGAGGGTTGGTTGAAACAGCGATAAATCCTCTCGTGATGAGCAAAGTAAGTACTGAGTTGCGACAATACAATATAACTCTTAAATTTATTCTTCAAACTCCAATCTGAAATGTTATTAATATCATTTTACCGATATGTGCAGTCTTGGACTGATTTGAATAGTTTGAAATCATCAGCAAAAAGAAGACAATCTATATATTTCAGAACTAACGGTAAATCATTGATGAAAATTATGAACAGAAATGGGCCTAGATTCAATCCTTGTGGTACACCTGACCTAGCTGGAAATTTATCTGAAATTTTTCAGTTATATTTGACAAATTTCATATTTACTCAATTATTATGAAATTTGTTTTCAGATTTCTTATACTTTAGTTGGTTTCCTCGATATAGCCATTGTAAGTACATACATAAATATAGATGGAGCTGAAGAACGATTACTTCAGTCGTGTGGTTCGAAGCACACTCGCTTTTTTAATTAAAAATATTTGCGGCCACATTTTAACTGGCACCCACCCTGTCGTAAATGTATTTTCCTATTCACAAATGTATGTAAAAATCTGAATTTGATTAACTACGTTATGGACATAGTGATTCTGCAGCGGGATCCTAGACTATTGTCTGATAAGTGAGAAAATATTCAGAATATTGTATGGTTTGTAGAGAAGGCCAATTGAATAACAAAAAGGACCAGTAGCGGCTTCAAATTATTATAAGAAGTTTTACTTCAAACCAGATAATTTATTAATGAGTTATGTGTAACTGGTAGGTATTTCACCACTCTATACAAATGATCAGTGAAAAATTCCCAGATAAGTTGTTTATATACAGACCTACATATTTGATACAATTAGATTGTTGAGAGGTTTGTCTTCTACGTGTTTTTCGAATAACACATTGAAGGACAGTGTCTGCAAGGTTGTCCATCAATGTTACCAGTAAGTAATTTGGCTCTATTAAGAGATAATTTATAGTATTTCACCCATTCACTAGCTAACCTGGATCATTTGTCCATTTGTAACACTATCTTTTAGAATAGTTAGTAGTGTCAAAAACTTTTCATAGGTTGAGTTACTTATTACTTGAATACTTTATGGATTTTTATCAAGTATCTTCCAATTTCATCACACATTTTCCTAGTACTTCAGATATGGGAACTCAACAAAAAAATTGTATGAGTTACCCATTTCACACACTTCACTTTTGTATTTTGCCAAGACTAGCAGTTGCATTATTCTTGGCAGAATGCAATATGATGTGTTCTAGTCCCGCCAATTTCAATCTTTAAAACTCATAGGTAACTTAATTATTTTTCAATTATCTCAATAAGATGTTGAAAACGAAGAAAAAATTAGTAATGAGACAGAATTTTCACTTGGAGCCACCAATAGAGAGGTCTTAAATATTTTTTATTATAGTTAAATACAACTTTTTTTATGACTTTTGTTCCGATTCCAATTTGACTCCGATAAATCAAATTGAAAATCTCCAACTAAGGTTCCAGTAAATAGTTAAATTTTTAGGAAAAGTACATTGACCAAGAGGAAGTACAATGGTTTGAGTCAACCATAGAAAAAATAGTTTCAACAAAGCAAAGCCCAACTTACTCGACGATAATGAAAATTAATTTTGGAACGTAATAAGAAACCAACAAAAAAGCTTCAAAAAAGAATTAGGTTTAGTGATAAATCAGAACATTTGAAATAAAAAAATTCCACATAGCAAACAATCTAAAGCAATGGTATTTCCTGTATAAAGACTCACAATATTCATAATGTATCAAAAAGCTGAAATAAAAATATTAGTTTCTGATAATTGATAGATATCATTGTACCGACTTAAATTTTGAGAGGAGTAACAAGTACAAACCTGAGTCTCAAAACGTTTCCTTGTATTATTGTTTAGTTTATCTCTATCACTACTCATTACAATCAAAACTTCTAAATGGGAATTATGTTCAGTACAATTAGTTTTACTATCAGACCTGGCCAGAAGTGACGGTGGAATATTTTCTTGTCCACCTGCCTTAGAATTTTGTATAATCAGCTGCATATTCTCAGCCAGTTGTTTGATAGTGAACTTATGGTCCTGGAATCTAAAATGTTTTATATTTATAACTTCTATAATATTATATGAAAGTAAAGTATTGGTACTACCTTTCTGTACACAGACTTTTTACTATTACTGTGCCTGGTTCGTTATCTTTCAATATAACAATGTGATTTATTTTCAAATCTGTGACTTGATTCTGGATTTCTGTCAAATTTGAACCCTCTATCAAAGTACATCGCAGATTTGCTTTCCAGAGGTTTCTCAGTACCTATAAAAATACAATAGAGAAAAATAACAGTTAAACTAATCAATTTGTTTGTGTGCCACAGATAATTGGAAAAGCACCTTTATTGCAAAAACTTGCTATTGAAGCTTCTTCTATAGAGATGTTTTTTTGGTGTCCAATCAGCATCAGCACGAAAACCAGAATTACATGTACCAAATAAACGACAGGAATAACACAGACACTCTTAGTAATTTTGACAAATAATCGTTGATTCCCCGTTTCCCTACTATTTCACCGTTTAACATTTCTCTCAATTCTACATAAATATTTACAACTAGAGCAATACAGTGTAAAAAAATACAATGAATTCTCTCAAGTACAAACACTTACTTTTGCTTTTTCCTCCACCATCTGTTTCTCTCCAATAGAACAAACTGCTATATCAATACTGTCCATTCTAGGCAACTCCCCAGATGGTTGTCTTTGGAGAGCATCGACCAACCTATCTGACGAAATTGAAACTCCAACGGCACATTGTTTAGTATCTTTGTTGGGACGGAATGGGGCAATCATAGAATCATATCTTCCACCAACAGCTACTACTTCCATCAATTTCTTTTTTTTCTTAGATTTATCATTCTTTGACACTTTTGTTTGAGGTAAGTCCGGACTAATTGAATCCTTTGGCACTTTGTATATAAATTCAAAAATCAACCCAGAGTACCCATTCACTTTGTGTACTAGGCCAGGAGAGACTCGCATGTCAAACTGAAATAATGTCATTTAATGATGGACAAATCAGCCATTTTTCTTTGATAAATTGATTACCATCTGACCAAAAATGTTACCTTTGACTATAGTGAACTAGACAAATCATAATTTATAGTTACCTAGGATTTGAATTGGATCCACTATCTCCAATGAGAAGAACAAGATAAATGATTTTTCTATTTGCTTAGATGTCGACTTGTGAATGCATTCATGAGGTAGAGCCTTGTCGAACTAACAGATAACTCTAATATTATTTGCATGATACATTTGCTAATTTTGCTACTCGAGAAACTCAATAAACTTATATCTTCTTTTTGTCAATCAATGATATTTAATGAACCCAATGATCTTTGTACTTTCAAAAATATTTTTTCTAATCCGAAGAAATGCAAAAATTTCTGAATAATGCAGAAGTAGAATATATGTTATATGAGTTAATTTGATGTAAATCAAAGGAAATAGACGTGAACAAAGCACTGAATTCAATATTATAAAAATTGTATACAGTGACATAGTATACAGTTTAAAGAGCCAAAAATATTCCTGCTGGCACGATACACTCATAACGGTATGCTACTACATTATGAATTTAACATGTTTATACTATCTGCTTTGTTCTATGATTATCTCATGATTGAATATATCATCTATCAATACCCCTGGTATTTTGATCATGATAAAAATACAATTGAAACCAACTTACCTTCACACCAAAAGCCTGTATGTAATAAATAACAAGTTTCAGATCCTGCAATATTTTTTTGGCTAATTTACCAGCTTCTGTTCTATTCCTAGTGATTTTTTCAAAATGGTCAAAACTTTTGGACACTTCAATATCGGAGTTGATAAAACTGAATAACAAATTTATCATGTTATCCGGTAACTTTAAGTATATAAAAAAATCTTGCAAATCAGATTTAGATATTTTTCCTTCCTGAAAATTTTTGCAATATTACTTGATGAATTATATTCTTCCTATTAACAATGTAAAACCAAAATTATTATTACCTGATAATCATATAACTTTCTGTGTACTTCATTATGACCATCTTTAATTCCACAATGTTGGAAAATCGCCAACAGTAGCTTTGTATGGTTCAGTCTTATGATAAAGCAATCTTTCTCAGAACCAAATATGTAATTCAATATTTCTGACACTATGTAGACAATCTCTGATCTAAGTTAAAACATTTTATACTATACTTTATCTACCCACTCTAACAATATTAGCCTGAGGTAGTGGATATAAAATGCCTTGAATTCTTCACAAAAGATGAGGTTTTTCCTTGTAGTGTTTGAATGATTGGAAGAAGAAATAGGGACAAGTAATAAGCGGCTAAATCTCTGGAACTGATGATCAGTCTGAGAGGAACATCTTTCTTATGAATTTTTGGTTATCCATACAGGGGTGAGGGGGCTTACTGTGGTGCAGTGTTAGCGATACTTATCCTTTTCCAAAAAGAAGAGTTGGTGTTTCTTCAAAGTCTGGTACTCTTTCCTTTCTATCATTTTTGTGCAATCTTCGTGTATTGCCCCATCTGAAAAATGTCTTCAATATTCGGCTGTTCAATAAAGTCACAGTTGTAACATTGCATGACTTGCGCCATGAGCAAAAACACCTAGAAGTATTTCACAAGATTTTCATTGGTTTCTGAGATGCATATAGGTATTTGATAAACACCTAGAAGTATTTCACAAAATTTCCATTGGTTTCTGAGTTGTATATGAACACCCAGAAGTATTTCCCATGATTTCCATTGGTTTCTGAGTTGCATATAGGTATTTGATAAACACCTAGAAGTATTTCCACTGAGGTGGTCCCTGAGTTGCATATAGGTAACTTGATGAATCCATGATGATAATTGAACAATTTTCTCATTTTTTTTAACGCCTTTCGCTAGCACCATAGCTTCATTGTTATTACATTTACAACCGATGAAGCTACGGCGATGGCTAAACGCGACTACAATAAAAATAATTTGTGAAAGTTGTTTAATAATTATCATATAATTAATTTTCATCAAATAACGGGTCAGTCCATTCATAATACCTAGAAGTATTTCACAAGAATGTAACAAAAGCTTACAGTTAATAATAAATTGAAATGCCTACAATCAGTAATAAATTAAAACTATTATTACCTTCACACAAATTTTTCTCACAAATTCCCGAAGTTGCAATCGCTCTAGAGAAAGTCCTTTCTCAAATAAGTCTTTGTTAGGATTCTTAGGTTGGTCAAAGCAAGATTTTATGAGAGACTGATAGCCTTGGAGTTCACGGTGATTCAATGTATGGGTCACTAAATCTCTAAATTTAAGATCATCTAATACTGCAGGGGGCATGTACTGAGACTTAGAGATTTCCATACAGGTAGGACGTTTTGATGTATCATGAGTGAGCAACCACCTGAAACAAAAGACTAGTGATTTTATTGATAATGAGTTATGAACTTTACCACAAACTGAAATACTAAAGTAAAAGTACCTGATGAAAGCAATTTGTTTCTCGGTCAATATTGTAGAGGCATCTTTTGGGAATATTATTTCTTTTGACCTTAAAGCTTTCAATATTTCGATTCTTTCCATGCCTGTATTTATCGATCTATAACACATCTCAAAGAGAATAATCCCTGAAAACGAGCCAACCAACTTAATTCATCCAAAACAGACACGAGATGCCAACTTGGTTTCAGTTTCACCTTTTACCTTAATTCTTGTTTGAAAATTTTTATGAGATTAGTTTTTGTTTAGTAGCATGTTTAATATTAGTTGCTACAGAAAAAAAACATTTATATTATTTGTCTTTCAACTGAAACAATTATATTATTAATCACTTTACAATGAAAATAATTTGAAAACAATTATGATTTAATATGTAACATTATGAATTTAACATGTTTATACTATCTGCTTCTTACCTAAACTATAAATATCGACTTTTTCATTGTAAATTTTAGTTTTGGAACTAATCTCTGGAGCTGCATATAGAGCGGTACCTACATAGCCTGTTTTACTTTCATCTGCAGTGTCTTCTTTATCAACTTTTTCTGGACTGTTGGATGAAGTGTTCTCAGTTGGTTTTGATATTATACTTGTAGTAGCCAGCCCAAAATCGCCAATTTTAACGTGATCTCCAGAATCCAAAAAAATATTAGCTGGTTTCAGATCTCTGTGTATCATACCCTGTAGGTGAATATGGGATAAGCCTAATAAATAAAAAGTAATATATGCTGTAATGAAGCGTATGAAAAAATTTCCATTAAAATTTAGTCCAATCCATGATTACCATAGAAAATATATACATTTTTACGGTGGTTATATTTCTGGTAAAATTAGCGTCCTCACATAATACACTTATTTTACTAATTAATATGAATATTACTGGAGTTTTTCCTAACACCAACACCTCGACACGTGTTTCGATCACCAAATGATCATCTTCAAAAGGAAGATTAAACTAATCATACTTACAATGCAGTCCCTATTTTTACCATAGATACATGTTCCAGGTACCTGCGTCTTGAGTGTCTTAAATTAATTTTACAATTTGCCGAATCTACTTGTCTTAAATTAAATTAAATTAATGTAATAGTCTATTACATAAGGACACATTGTAAAATAGATAAGGCAAATTGTAAAATTAATTTAAGACACTCAAGACGCAGGTAACTGAAACAGGTATCTATGGTAAAAATAGAGATAGCATTGTATGATTAGTTTGATCTTCCTCTTGAAGATGATCACTTGGTGATCGAAACACGTGTCGAGGTGTTAAAATAACGGTTTGGTGTTAGGAAAAAACTCCAGTAATATTCATTACTACACCAAACAGTTCCAAACAGTGCACCACAAGTAATTATTATAACTTCACAAGTTGTATCAGAAAGAATCACTGTAAAAATTGTTGTTTTATATGATGGAATCGGCCGATACTTAACGAAAGTCCATAACTAACGTATTCTAAAAACACTTTATTGTGAGATTTTCACTAGACAGTTTTACAAAAACGCAACACGTGTTTCGCCATACACGCCATACATTACCTCGGGCGTATATGGCAAAACACGTGTTGCGTTTTTGTAAAACTGTCTAGTGAAAATATCACAAATTGGTTTTAGAATACGTTCGTTATCTTATTCAAGTCAACCGCTTAAAATTAATTCAAACTCCAATCAAGAACGGCTATCCAGCGCTTGTGCCTTTGCTACAATTTTGAAACTTGACGAGCAATAATCAAAATGTGGCTTTATGATTGGATTATATACAGTATTTTGGTTTCATAGTTTTGTCAGAAAACAACTTATCAATACAGTTTATATGTATGATTTTCACTATAAGGGTTTTACAAAAATCGCAACACGTGTTTCGCTATACAATAGCTTCTTCAAGCATAAACTCTTGGAGTCTTGAACTCAAACGCTTGAAGAAGTTATTGTATAGCGAAACACGTGTCACGGTTTTTGTAAAACCCTTATAGTGAAAATCATACAAATAAACTGTATTGATTAGTTGTTTAATATGGATTTTCATCAACTATCGGCCAGTTCTATTCAATTCGTCAGAAAAATATATCTTTAAAATGTCTGCCGAGTAATTCATTGAAATCAACATACGAGTATAAATAACAAAAACAAAAGTAGTCTGATATCAGATTCATGCAGAATCAAAGCTTTTATATGATACTTTCTAATGTTATGTTGGAAGATTGGAGAAATTGGAAAAATCCAACCTCATACACAAGTCAATAAATATATTCTCGGACAGTCAAGCGGCATTGGAAGCTCTTGGCTCCTACCGAGCAACGTCTAAATTGATACCAAATTGCCAAAAACGACTCTTCTTAATAGGAAGACTTGACAGATTGTCTCTGGTCTTGCCATATTGGCCTGGAAAGCACTGAGGCTGCTGACTCCCTTGCAAGCAGCTACTTCAGGCCAGAACCTGTCATTGGCATCGCTTTAGGCTTTGCCAAACAAAGAATGAACACCTGGATGGCAAGAAGATTTATGGACTTCTGGCTGAATCTTCCAGCTGGATTTATTCGGTCGAGTGTAAATAGGTGAGAGCCGCAGGTTGCGGTGGAGGGTCGAATAGGCCCACTCACTTTGAACCTAACCTAACAGTAATCCAGGACAAGAATTTGAGGGTCCCGGTGAAGACTGACCCATCACAAACGGTTCAGTTCCATATGACTTTTAATGGTTCAAAAAGTATTCGAAAGGTTAAAAATTTTTGAACGACTGACAGAAATTGTCACGTTTCGAGGTCTGTTCTTCTTTGTTTTTGCGCAACCAAAACAATCCTTTTATGGAACGAATTGTCACGTGTGATGAAATGTGTATCTTCTACGACAACAGGAGACGTTCAGGACAGTGGTTGGACACCAACGAGCGCCCCAGGCACTTCCCAGAGGGAAAAATTCACCATGGTTACTGTATGGTGGTTAACGGCTGTTATGATTCACTATAACTTTCTGCAACTGGGCCAAACCATCACAGTAGAGTCCTATTGTGAGGAAATCGACGAAATGTATCAAAAATTGCGTCAGCAGCAGTCGGCACTAGTCAACAGAAGACTTCCGATCCTGCTCCACGACAACGCCCGTTCGCACGTTTCACGAATCACCGTCCAGAAATTAAACGAATAAGTAAAAATAATTTACGGGCCATCTGAGGTCGGGAAGTGGAAGAGGGTGAGTTTTTAGGGGGAAAACAATTAGGCGATTTTCGGCAAAACTACAAGTCCTATGGAAAAAAGTTGAATGACAAAGTTGCAAGTAATAAAAAAATCTGCAACTTTTGTACTCACACTTTCTTCACATAACCTCAAAATTTATGCGAGAAATTCAAATGACCGATTTTTTTGTTTTTTATTTTTATATTCTACAAACATGTTTTTTCTTCTCCCTATTTGGTGAAAACTTATTTTTTATATCCCAAACACACTGAATTTTTTGGATCTAAAATATTAATTATTTTCCTTATTTTGATTTAATATCGAAAAAGTGCCCTGATTTTCAATCAAAAATTTTCACGTCAAAATATCTGTTTTTTTCAAAAAAATCTTTGTGCTTCCACACTTCTGCGAGAGTAACTACTCTGCCTTAGTATCAAAAAGTTTGTCAAACGCGATTTTTCTGATAAATGACAGCAAGTTATAACAATTTATTGCATCAAATAATGGGGAATATCTAAGCCATTTGACGTGGGGGAATTCTCAATAGAATGCCATGGCGGATGTCTTAAAATCAATATAACTATCTACAAATAACTCACCCTCTACTATCTCCCTGAACAATCTCTGATAACGGTCTTTGTCAAGGTACAAATTGTTTGCAATAGCTGTTTGTAAATTACTTTTTTCACAAAATTCCATCTGTATATACATAAAATTAATTTGATTCACTATTTCCTTAGATTTTGCATTGGTCACTGGCTCTATTGTTGAAGATTCAAATGAAGTGCTACTTTTTGATAACTCTTCAGAATTGTGTTCCATCTCAGTATTAATTGAATCAGAATCTCTTTCAAATACTATGTCATCTGAATCAGAATCCTCCAGCTGAAATCTGAAAGTTTTCCAATAGTTCCCTCTCTGAGAAAGTAGACGTTACAAAACTCACCCTGATTCGGAAAGTTCATCTTCATCACTAGATTCGTCATCAGGAGGTACAAAATGCCCCTGAGACACACTGTCATATGTTACAGAAAATTCCACACTTTTCACAGTCGGAGCAAAAGCTTCAAGATGTTCATTTAAATTCAACTGAAATCAAAGAAATACAAAGATTATGAAAATCTGTCATTGAAATCAATCTGGCTAAGTATGTGAATTAATTTTTTTGAGAAATTCAACTTTAGTGTCACAGTTCAATGATCCGTGGTTGTTATAGCCTCAATATCAATAATTCACTGAATCATCCACGAATTCAATAAACTGTATTCGTTTGAAAATATCCTTGTAGAACGAAATTGCAGTAACGTTAGTTACAAATACAAAGTGGTATAAAAACATGGAAAGTTTTAATTATCATTTTTCATTGTTCATTTAAAAAAAAACTTTCATTGTGAAAAAAG